TAAGGTCTTCCTTATTCATTGATAGGCAAATTAGGGGTTTTTCCACCTATAACTTGAATTTTGAAATCAGTAGTGTTAGAAAACAGTTATTACTGCATTTACTGATTAGTACATTCGTTTGTGTCTTAAGATTATAGCATATCTGGGGCAATCACTTTGTTTTGCTTTCTTTGTCTTTGAAGAAGCACGACAAGCTTTGAACCCATATATGTCCTCCTCACCCTCCTTGGTGTGGCCTTGGAAATCCTGCTTTATAAAGTTGTTGCCTAACAGGAGGAAAAGCGTGAATTCTCGTGTGTGTCTGATTTGGAGGAGAAACCGCACTTTGCGTAATCTGTGTTTTTAGACTGCCCTGTCACCTCCTGCGCTCCCCCAACCTGCACGCTTGACAGTCACCTGTTCTTCCAAACTATGGAAGTACTAGGGCCTCATGTGATCTAACGATAGTCATGTTGCCTTTGGGATTTGCCTTTTCTTGACCCTAGGAGTCCCCATGTGTTTCTGTATTATTTCAGTACAAAGACTCCATATTTAATTTTGATAAGGTCTTGCTTGAAGTATTTGTACTTAAAGACCACTTTGGACAGGTTAAGTAGCCCAATTGATGCTTACAATTTTCTCTTTTACCCATTTAAATATCAGAATTGCTTAAAAAAAAAATTGTTTCAGAGTTTTGCCAGCCTTTGTTTCACTCCCTGATGTTTGGGCCTCTCTGCCAAGAACCTAATCAACTATAAAAAAAAGTTTTGGATTTCAGAATATGGTGTGGTTTTCCTGAGCCTCTGTAGGGTAGAGCCAAGAGACCATGTGCATTTGGGAGATGGCTCTGGTGTGTCCCAAGGTCTAATCTGTACAGAATCCTCACCAGTAACATCTTGCACTGTTTCTCTGTTTGACCTCTTAAAGAAGAAAAGTCTGCGGGCAGGGCAGCAGGATCCAGCCTGTGTGTGGAGAAGCTGGTGTGGTTCTGTGGGACTGATAGCAGCGGAGTCTGGACTAGTCCACTTTTCAGCCGGCCCTTCACCTCTTAGAGCCCTGTGGGATGAGATTGGAGATAGCATGTTGAATGCTTAAAAATAAAGACAATATAACATTGAGAGGAAAGTGTTTAAATCTAGATTTTGGGGGTGCATGGGTGGCTTATGTGTCTGACTCTTGGTTTTGGCTCAGGTCATGATCTCAGAGTTTGTGGATTCAAGCCCCACATCAGGCTCCATGCTTGACAACGTGGGGGCTGCTTGAGATTCCCTCTCTCTATCTGCCCCTCTTCCAGTCGCTCTCTCTCAAAATAATCAAACTTGGAAAAAAAATGAATAAAATAAACCTAGATCTTGGTATCAAATAGAATGGTGGGCTTAAGGGTATAGCCTGAAGAACCATCTTCTAAAAAACACACAGAAAATCCGGGTGAAATACAACAACTTTTTATCTTTTTAATTAGATGTGAAATAATTTGAGGGGGTGGGTTAGGAGAAAAAAAAAAGATATGAAATCATTTGGTAAAAGGTACTGATCCTGAGTATACAGCTTGGAGTTTTACATGTGTGTGCACCTATGTGATAACCACCAAGATGAAAGTATAAAACATTTCCAGTACTCCAGAATGTTCCCTCATGTCTCTTTTGTGGGTTTTTAATATCAGTAAAATGATGGATTCAGATATGACAGCTGTTAGGGGTGTTAGTTGTTGTGAAACTAGCTTTTTTCCCCACCTAAGTAAGCTCTTCACCCAATGTGGGGCTTGAACTCACCACCCTGAGATCAAGAGTCAGATGCTCTACTGACAGCCAGCCAGGCACCCCGTCAAATCAACTTTTTAGACTGGTCCCTTGTCCTCATCTGGAGGGGAACTTAATGTGAGTGGCAATTTAGATTTTTGACATGAGCATACACATCCCCAAGGTATATTATTCTGTCTAGCTACCAGAATAGAACTTAGCATGACATGAGTATCTTAGCAGAAAATACAAATAAATACTAAAATGGGGGAAAGAAGTCCTGCACTTGATATAATTGACCTTAGAATAGCAAGGGGCTAGCAGTACAGTGACATTGATTCCAGCGGTATGATAGGGAGGAGGGTAGGGAGTCCAAGGATAGTTGACAGGACAGAAACCAGGAAAATTCACTACAGAATAATCAGATGTTATGGAGTGGATGTTGTACCTGGTGCAACACTGTTAAGAGGGGGTTTTTTGCTTTTCTTTTTTTTTAATTTATTTCTGAGAGTGGGAGAGAGACAGCGTGAACAGGGGAGGGTCAGAGAGAGGGAGATACAGAATCTGAAGCAGGCTCCAGGCTCTGAGCTAGCTGTCAGCACAGAGCCTGATGTGGGGCTCGAACCCACAAACTGTGAGATCATGACCTGAGCCGAAGTCAGATGCCCAACCGACTGAGCCACCCAGGCACCCCTGTAAGAGTTTTAAAAAGAAAGGAGCAATGGGGTGCCTGGGTGGCTTAGTCGGTTAAGCATCCAACTCTTGGTTTCAGCTTGAGGGGTTTGGCTGTAGTGGTGGCTTGCAGTTCATGAGTTTGAGCCCTGTGTTGGGCTGCATGCTGACAGTACCGAGCCTGCCTGGGATTCTCTTTTTTTGCCTCTCTCTCTGGGTCTTCCTCACTCTCTCTCTCAAAAATAAATTTAAAAACTTAAAAAAAAATAAGAAAGGAGCAAGTGAAAGTCTGAGAAGTAGAGAGTGTGCCTGGCTGGCTCAGTCCGTGGAATGTGCAACTCTTGAGCTTGGGGTTGTGAGTTCAAGCCCCCACGTTAGGCCTAGAGTTTACTTTAAAAATTAAAAATAAATAAATAAAAGGGGGGTGCCTGGATGGATCAGTCAGTTAAGCGTCTGACTTCGGCTCAGGTCATGATATCACAGTTCAGGAGTTTAAGCCCTGTGTTGGGCTCTGTGCTCACAGCTCAGAACCTGGAACCTGCTTCAGATTCTGTGTCTCCATCTCTCTCTGCCCCTCCTCCACTTGTGTTCTGTCTTTTTGTCTCTCTCAAACATAAATAAACATTAAAAAATTTAAAAATAAATAAAATTTGGGAACTAGAATTAGGGGTATAAAAAGAAATCTTTCAGATTATTTTTACTAGCTAAAAAAGTGTCACTTGAAGACTGATCTTCCTCTCCCTTGAAGACTAAAGGAGTTTCTTGACTTGTCACGGTTGGCTTGCTTGGGCATCAGGAACCCTGAAGGAGAAGAGTGCTGAGAATAAAGAGCCCTGGTGCCAGCAGCCCGCAGGGACTGCATGTGCATGCAAAGCTGGGCGTGCAGCATTGTCCTTTCTTCTCCCCTTAAACCATCAGCCGCAGTCTTCACAACGTCAGCAGGCTGCGCTGCTGCCTTTTCTCACCTGTGTATTTTGTCCCATTTTTCTCAATATTCTCTAGTTTCTGTCTTCCTTTTCTCAGCATCCTATGACCCCCGCAACCACCTTAGGCCTCTCTGGTTCTCAGATAGTTCTTCAGGAAATTGTAGACAGGCCAGTAGGCAAAGTGTTTCTTTGAGCAAGATCAGGCTGGTTTTACAGAAGGCCTTGGTCCTAAGCTCGAGTTCACTTTAGCCAGTAGTTGTCCTATAGACATTCTTAGGGAATCCTGAAGGTCATGGGAGCATAATTTCAAAGTTCCTGCTCTGGTAGAAAGAGATAAATTGGCTTTGGAACCAATACTTCTGGGCTCAAATCCCAGCCCTGCTACTGGCTGTGTGACCTCATGTAAATCCTGTAATTGGCCAGATTCAGTTTTATCATCTATAAATTGAAAAGTTCCTGTCTTACAAGGTTATTATAAGGACTAGAAAATAGCTTATATAAAATATTTTCTACAGTAGGGGTGCCTGGCTGGCTCAGTCAGTAGAGCATGTGATACTTGATCTCAGGGTTGTGAATTCAAACCCCGTGTTGGATCTTGGAGCTTACTTAAAAACAACAACAACAACAAAAAGAAACACCTCTACAGTACTTAATGAAAGTACAATAAATAGTGGCTATTAATTTAATAAAACCAAATGAACAGTTATACTGAGAAACTTCTTGTATGCTCAGAACTCAGATGTTGATAATTGAAGGATAAAGTTCTCTAGTCCAGTGTCATATGGGGCCTGATTTCACCATTGTTCAATATTTTGTCACAGGATGAATCCATTCATCAGACTGATTTTGTCTTAAGTTTTATAGGAGAATAGACATATATCCTAGATTGTCAAAACGTTATAGTTGATGTCGCAAAGGAAGCTTTCCATAGCAGAAGCAAAACATAATGTCTCCTTAATGACTAGGTACCAAGTGGCATTGAAGGAGCAACAAGGTCTGTTAGTACATGGTGGGGTGGGTGGGGGTGGAGAGCTAGCAGGCATTGACCTGCCAGGTAGAGCTTGTTGAAGAAGATGGGGACTTTGCAGGGAGCTGATGGAATGTGGAGTTTTGGCCTATACCTGCCCAAGTGGGAAAAGTCTTACCTTGACAGGAAGGTGATAGGAACACTTCATTTTCTGGGACCAGATGAACTTGATTTCCATGATTATCTTCTCCTCTGCAGGCACTAGTGGGTGGTGATGTGTATACATGAGTGGGTTGAGGGATTGTGCTGCGCTTGTATGCCAGTAAGGGTGGGGGACGTCTCCTTCTAGGCCACGGCCTGTGGGCCAAACAGCAAGCTAAGGGTAGTGGGTACCAAGAAGAGGAATACTGGGTCATTCTGGTTGGGATTGCTCATCCAGAGATGATTAAAATTTCCAAAAAGTGTCATTTTCTAGGATCCTTTATATTTTCTGCACTCTGTTTTTCTGCACTGCTAAAATCACTCTTCTTCCTTCTGCCTGCACTAACCACAAGTAATCAGTCTGGTGGCTGGGGCTTGGGAGGCAACAAATAGCCATTTCTATAATGTCAGCCCTAGAGCAATCACGTGGGCAGGGTATGCCTAACCAGAGAATGGAGTTTTTCAGTTTGCATTCATAACTGGAAATAAAGCGCTTTCCTTATTCTCCTCCTGCAGGTCGGTGAGCTGGTAAAGGTTACGAAGATTAATGTGAGTGGTCAGTGGGAAGGGGAGTGTAATGGCAAACGAGGTCACTTCCCATTCACACATGTCCGTCTGCTGGATCAACAGAATCCTGATGAGGACTTCAGCTGAGTATAGCTCAACAGTTTTGCTGACAGATGGGAACAATCTTTTTTTTTTTTTTTTCCAATTGTCATCTATACAGTTTTCTTCCAGACATCAAAGCAGTCTAGTTTATATAAGCATTCTGTTACCTGTGATCTTTTTTAGACTGAACTACTCCATCTCTAGTCTCATTTACCATATTCAGGGTACGAAACTGGAGGGCTCGTGTGTTAACTTCTGAATTGGCAATTTTAGGTGATAGCAGCCATGCCTGAGTGTATCAGAAGGGATGGGTATTTTGCATCCTTTCCCTCAGGTGGTGCAGATCAACCTGTGGAAAACTGATGGACACGAGAGGAATATTGCACACTGCTTACCCTGATTTACTCAATGGTTTTGTTTTCATTTTGAAATCATGCTAGCAAAAGGCAATAGACTGTTCCCTTCCACCCCCATGAAGTAATATTGCACCGTGTGAATAGGAAGTACCCAGTGGGATTGCTTTTTCATTTATAGAACATGACCACTGTGTGACTCATTCTGACAGTTTGGATCCTGAGATTTCCGAGGACACTACTAGAGGCATTTGTCTTCCTTCCTAGTCAATGCTTCATACTTTTTCTTGGGATTCTTTAAATCCTTGTCATTCTTTCCCCCAAACCTACAAATATGTTCATTCTCAAGAAAAGTATTTTTCATTCCAGATGACAAGCAGGATGTGCAGAGCACTTTATTCAGTGCATAGCTTTAAGCCAGTATTGGATTCACCGAGTGGACACCCAAACTCCCAGCTTTCTGCCTTCCCTCAAGGGGTCATAGTAGGTTCACACTGCTACCACAGCTAAATAAACTCCTGGCTAATGGGATCCAGTAGGGCCATTTTTCTCTTGAGTGCCAGAATCCTGTTAGGGGACTCTTTGAAATTCTTAGCTTCTACTTGCTTGGAGTGGAAGGACCAATCACTTAGAATATTCCATAGAGGGTTGTAGGGCCAAATTCTGCCCTTTGCTTTATGTGCAACTTGTATACAAGTCAGGTTAAAATTACATGAGTTTGGGGTAGAGTTAGTGCTTTTCTAAACATTTGAACCAATCATAAATTATGTAGTATTCATTTTACATGGCCAGAATAGTGCTTGAAGTACATTACATTATCACCTGCCTTCATTTTTGGCTCTTTTTCTTTGTGCTCCAGTTTAGTTTACAAATCCTTTCAAGTATGGAAGGTTTATGTGGGGCCAGGTGCTCCAAAGAATTGACTTCTGAGACCAAAAATGATCTAGGCTATTTAGACTACAATATGAAACTTTCAAAGTTAGTTCCCAGTCTAGAAAAGCACTTACTGGTCTATGGTGTGGTATGACCCATAGAAACACCTTATATTTTGCTTTGGGCCTCATTTTAGAAAAGTAATATATCTTTCGAATTGTTTTTACGTAGGTTTATGATTAATAATGCATTCTTTGAACTATACCAAATCATGGTATCCCAGTGACTAGCACAATGCCTGGCATAGTCGGTGTGCAGATGTCTGTGTGAGTGAATGAGGGGTGCACAGAAGCTCATTATACAGCACAGGGAAGCCGGCTGACACAGGATTACATACCACAAGCAAACTAATGAGTTGACGCTAATTTATTTTTACCTCACACTAAGGTAATGCTTGATAAAAATATTAATACTCAACTTTTAAAAGTTAGCACAGTGCAATGCACATAGTGGGTGCTCAATGATGTTAAATGAACAGATTTGCAATACTAGACTTAATTCCATCTGACTACTCTTAAATTTTCAGTTAGAGCAGAGATACTGTAAAATTCAAATTCAAATCCACATTAAATCTTGTTTTCCTGGAAGTATGACATCTAAAATACTTGTAGAAAAACCTTGTCATAAACTGATTTGAATGTGTGTATTTTCTTTTGCCTTTGACTTTGATATTGGCTTGGATATGTCTTCATCATATGTAATATTAGTGGAACATTCAGCTCTACCCAAATCATAAGAATTTCTCAATGATCAGATGACTGAAAGCCATTATATGAACTGTTAGGTTGGATTTGGCTGGGTGTGTCAGTTGTTGGACCTTAATCAAAGGACTTCTAAAAAGTATGTTCCAAAAGCAAATGCTAGAATCCTATTCAAGTGCATATGTACATTGTGACAGAGCAAAGTAAACTGTAATTGGCTGCTATATTTTATATAATCATTTCTGCAAAAGCCCAGTTTTTGGATACTAATATTTGACATGGTTAATTCTTATTAATTTGTTGGAATTGTTTATTGTTAATAATGCAAATAGATAATTTTTAATTATCCTTAAGTAACATTTCACTATTAATGGTTTGAAGTGGGTGATAAGCAAACCAATTTGAAATAAAATATGAACATGTGCCATTGTATTATAACACTATACACTTTCTTGACAGTTAAATTTTAAAAAATGTTTTTTTGTAGCATGTATTGTATATGTTTATAGTATATGTAGTAAATAAAAATATGGCCAAATGTTTGGCTTGGTGATCTTTTGAAGAAAGTAATCTTTGAATATTTTTCACAAAAGAGCTAAATCTTTTATGCTTAGGGAATAAGAGGTGTGTACATTCTACAGCCTACAATCATATAATCAGATAAAAAAACAGTTATATATAATCTGTGGGTACTCATTAAAGATTAGGTTAATCGTTGGTGATATTCTGAAGGGCCTCCAAAAGTCATGAAATAAATTGATTTGAGAGGAACATAAAAGATTATGTAATGATCAAAAAGCTGGAATAATGTGGACAGAGAACATCAGACTTGTCCAGAAATGGTTATATGTGGGTGTAAAGAAAGTAAGGATATGGTAGGGGACTTTATAAAGCAAATGAGAAGTTTAGACATTATATAATAGGTTTTTAGAATGTTAGTGTAGATAGATATACAGTGTAATTTCTCCTTTTTTATGTAAGTAGCACGTTTTCAGGATAATTTAGTAAATACCCCCAAAAAGGGCTAAACGTTATGTTTTTTCCATTCTTTGTCAAAGCACGTGTATATATTCAGACACACACAGTATGACACTAAATATACCTAACAGGTTGGCATTATCCTCTAGTTTTGTGTCCTAGGGGTGGCGAAGTTTTAAAAAGAAAAAGACAGGGCCACCTGGCTGGCTCAGTCACTACAGCATGCAACTCTTAACCTGGGGGTTGTGAGTTTGAGCCCCAAGTTGGGTATAGAGATTACTTTAAAAAAATGAAAAGGACGAGTTTTGCCAATTACTTGGACCCAAAATAAAACATCTCGTTACCGTAAGCAGATTGTCAACGCAGAGTTAAATAAAGGAATCTCCCCCAAAGGGAGCCAACTTTGCCATAAACAAGCTTAACAAGGTGATTTAAGTATGTTTTGATTTTTTTTATCAATAAAAAATAAAGTGTTAAAATCTTGTTTTAATATGTTGAGTGTTGGGTTCCTTCGCATAACTTTGAGTGCTCTTACCTCTCTTACATTTATGACCCTGACTTTTCAGATTAAATTCTATTCCTTTTACAGATACGAAGAGAGAAGAAGCCCCCTCTGTAGAAGAAAATGCGAAAATAGGCCTCTTAAGTTTGGCAGGAGAAGGCCTAGTATTTGGAGCTCTACTGCCATACATACCCTGAAAATAGAAGTGGGTGAAGGGCTAACAAGAACTTACCATTGGGAAGTAAGGTTCCTAAGGAGAGCAATGGTCAAGGGTCCTGCAGGGATACAAGATGAAAGCAAGCATCCAGCCTGGGCTTCTGATCAAGGGGGTGCTTCCAGTATTTCTGTAGTTGGCCTCATTTTCTTAGACTTGAGGTTTGCATTGAATCCTAGCAAGGTGGGCACTAGAATTTTGACCAAATGGTCAAAGGTAAACTGGCTTGGGCAGATTTTTTTTCTATCCTACTTGAAATGGGAAGACTGTGGACTGTAGCTTTCTGGGAGTGGGAGGGAGAGTAATTGAATATCAGACATGTGGAGTGTGACTTGTTCAAAGCCTCCTCTCCTTTGCAAGAATTTTATGGAGTTTTCTAGTTCCATTTCAAGCTGATGGCCCAGGTGAGCTTCTCCAAGGCCCTGAGTGCCAGCAAGGAAACTAGGGAAGTTGAGACCTGAGTTGAGGTGGAAGATGGTTTCCTCCTTTCTCTTTTATATCAGGAAAGTACAGTGAGTGAAAATGAACTTGGTACTATATAAGGGTATAGTAATACTGTTTGTTGGATACCTCTGGGCTGCCTTCATGTACTATGTAATTCAGGATATAGCTTCCTGGAGTTAATGTGTTATTTGTACAGGTTTGTATACTCAGTGCTACCTCCCTCTCCCTTCAGACCTCCAGCCTGACCGTAGGGCTCCCATGAGTCCTTAACAGCTGGGAGCCCTAACACAAAGGCCCAGCTGCCTTGGCTGCTGTTGCTACGGTGTCTAAAGACTATCTACTGTGGGGGGGCGCCTGGGTGGCTTAGTCAGTTAAGCGTCCGACTTTCGCTTAGGTCATGATCTCGCGGTTCGTGGGTTCGAGCCCCGCGTCGGGCTCTGTGCTGACTGCCAGCTCAGAGCCTGGAGCCTGCTTCAGCCTGTGACTCCCTCTCTCTCTGACCCTCCCCTGCTCACGCTGTCTCTCTCTCTCTCTCTCCTGGAAATAAATAAAACATTAAAAAAAAAAAAAAAAAGACTATCTACTGTGGGGTGATGGCAATCTTGACCTCACTCATCGTTTTGTAATCTTTGTTTAGAGAGAGTATCACATGAATCCAAGGATACCTCTACTGACACAGAAAGGAGCTATTCTAAATATGAAGTATTTTAATAAATGTGAAATATTCATCTGTTGTCACCAGAGGGAGAGATTGACTGCATATTTTGCAGGCTGTGAAGCTGTCAGAGCTAGCTGAGCGCTTCTGTGACTAGTTTTGATCAGATTATAGTGGCTCTGGGGCGCCTGGGTGGCTCAGTCGGTTGAGCATCCGACTTCGGCTCAGGTCATGATCTCACAATTCATGGGTTCGGGCCCCATGTCAGGCTCTGTGCTGACTGCCAGCTCAGAGCCTGGAGCCTATTTCAGAGTCTGTATCTCCCTCTCTCTCTGACCCTCCCCTGTTCACGCTGTCTCTCTCTCTCCTAGAAATAAATAAAAATATTAAAAAACCTTTTAATAAAAAGATTATAGTGGCTCTAAGCAGATCTGTAAAAAAAGATACAGGATAGATCCTTGCCCTTGTGAATCTTCCATTCTAGGAGTAGCAGGACAAAATCCACATCCATAGCCCCCATGGAGGCCGCTGGTGGCTTTCTTGAAGTGTTCTGTCATTGACGGTCACCAGACACACAGCTTGGTGGGCAGTAGCTTTTGTGAGTAACCAGTTGAAAAAGGCACTCCTTCCTCTGTGTGGACATGGCTCATGCCAGACTCATGGCTTGCCAAGTCCAAACCAGAGTGTGATTTGGGTATGGCTCCTGTTGCCACCTCAACCGAGTGCGCATTTCTGATGCACAACTGTATGTGGTACTCAGCAAGTAGCTTCGGTAATTCTTTTTAATGTTTCAGTTGGCTGCTCATTTATAGATGGTCTCTCTCCCTCACATCCCCATCATCACCAAATCCTGTCGGCTCTGCCTCTACCACCACCACCCAAGCAAGCAAGCCGTCTCCTGTGGACCACTGTAACAACACCCTGGCCGTTCGCTTTCCCTACTCTGTTCATCAGAGAGCATCTAGGACTTGAGCATGGCATTCTTCTTCTTTTTTTAATGTTTTATTAATTTTTGAGAGAGAGAGAGACAGCATGAGCAGGGAAGGGTCAGAGAGAGAGGGAGACACAGAATCTGAAGCAGGCTCCAGGCTCTGAGCTGTCAGCACAGAGCCCAATGCAAGCCTCAAACCCACGAACCGTGAGATCATGACCTGAGGCAAGGTCGGACGCTTAACCGACTGAGCCACCCAGGCGCCCTGAGCATGGCATTCTTTTACTTAAAATCATTTAATGGCTTCCTCTTAATCATAAAATACAACCCACATTCCATAGAACGGCATACGTGGGAATGCTGACCTTTTCCTCGGCCTAGCTTCCTTGTGCTCCTGTCAGGCTTCCCTTTCAGCTTCTCAGTTAGGGGGCACCTGGCTGGCTCAGTTGGTAGAGTGTGTGACTGTTGATCTCGGAGTCTTGCGTTTGAACCCCACGTTGGGCATCAAGGTTACTTAAAAAGGGATGGGGAACAAGTCAGCTTCTCAGATGAAGATGCCCTTGCCCGTTCTAGGACCTCCCTTCCCCTAACTCTGACCTACTCTCTTGGTTCCAATGTCACTTCCTCAGAAATGCCTTCCCCAAACCCATAATCTCGTACTTAGTCACATCACTCACCTTCACGGTGTTCATCTCAGATTGTGGTGGTGTATTTCTGTGTTCATTTCATTCCATCTCCTCTGTTAGACTAGAAGTCAGCTCCAGCTGGACGGGAGCTACATGTGATTTGGTTATTCCATCTTGAGAGCCCAGCACAGAGCCTAGCTCACAACAGACAATACAGTTATTGAATGAGGTATGTTTCCTTCAGCAGTTTTTAGTGCTGGGGAATAGGGACCCCCAGCTGACTACTTCTCAGCTGCTGTCTCTGGTTTCCTGGTCTTGTGTATACTCAAAGACTGCAGGTTCTTTTTTTTTTTTTAATTTTTTTTTTTTATTTATCTCTAGGAGAGAGAGAGATAGACAGCATGAACAGGGGAGGGTCAGAGAGAGAGGGAGACACAGACTCCGAAACAGGCTCCAGGCTCTGAGCTGGCAGTCAACACAGAGCCCGACGCGGGGCTTGAACCCACCAACCGCGAGATCATGACCTAAGCGAAAGTCGGACGCTTACCCGACTAAGCCACCCAGGCGTCCCTGCAGGTTCATTTTAATACCAGACTAAAACCAATTTAGGAAGGTCCTGTTGCAGAAACAAAAAATGCCTGTCAAAGCCCAGTCTCAGGGCTTGGGTGCTTCCCGGTGGCCATGTTCCTTTCCTTTTCCATAGAAAATGTGACTGGAACACTTAGAGGGGACCTATATTCATACAAGAAAGATTATTCTCTGGTTGTATCTTTTTTTACATTTTCATTCCAGTGTAACATACAGTGCTGTATTAGTTTCAAGTGTACAACATAGTGATCCAACGTTCCATATTTTACTCAGTGCTCATCAAGACAAGTGTATTCTTAGTCCCCCAACCTATTTCCCCCATCACCTACCCACCACCCTTTTGGCAACCATCAGGTTGTACTTTATACTTAAGAGGGTTTTTCTTTTTTTTTCTTTCTTTTTTTAATGTTTTATTTATTTCTAGGAGAGAGAGAGAGAGAGACAGCGTGAGCAGGGGAGGATCAGAGAGAGGGAGCCACAGACTCTGAAACAGGCTCCAGGCTCTGAGCTGGCAGTCAGCACAGAGCCTGACGCGGGGCTCGAACCCACGAACCGCGAGATCATGACCTAAGTGAAAATCAGATGCTTAACCGACTAAGCCACCCAGGCGCCCCG